GCAATAAACAGAGGCATCCTACCAAGACCCATATCGATCGAGGCTTGATCAACAAATTTCATGGATCATAATATTAATCATTTTTACCTTAAACACAGATGCCAATTCATAAGCTCTTTGCGACGCAGAGTGTCCATATACGTTGGCATTATCAGCAATGTTGCAAATAAGCTTTTTCCATGCGCTATGTTCGACTGACTTGCTACAGAAATCGGAGTGTTGTGACCTCCACCTAAAAGTGACCATTCTGAGGAGTTACATTCCTTAAAGTAATTTTCTCTTGGCTGATAGTTAAGGCAGATAGTGTAAATATCGAATGAAGCAATGATATCACGTAAATGTTCGTCCATGTGCGAAAAAAAAAACTGCTAGAAATGTGGGAAAACGATATGTGCGGGATGAGATGTTTTACACATTGAAGACCGAATTTGTGTCCGGCATATAGGATGGAGAAAAATAAATTTATTATAAAAAAAAAAATTTTTTTTATTTGATTAATTAAATGTTAGCTTGCCTATAGTAATTACATAACGTATGTTAAGAAAAAAATTGTAAAAATTTTTATATTTAAAAAAAATAATAAATCTTATGTTAATTTCTTAATAGAAATGATTTTTATTTTTAATTTAAATATTTTAAAGAAATTATAAACCAAAAAAAATAATTAAAAAATTTATTATTATTAATTTTATTAATATAATTATAAAAAATTTTTTATACAAATATGTTTTAAATTTTAAAAAATTGAAAAATAATTTTTTAAAAATTTTAAATAAAACTTTTTATAATAAAACAAATATTTAAAATTTCTATTTTCCAACTATATTATATAGTCTAAAACAAAAAAAAAATTCATCTTTAATTTTTTTATTATAACTTTATAAAAAATTATTTAAATAATATAAAAATTTTAATACATATTCTTTAAAACTTAAAAATAAAATCATTTAAAGATTTTTTATAAAATATATTATTAAAAAATTTTTTAAATTTAAATTTAATATTTAAAAAAAATAATTAACTAAAACTTTAATTATTTTTTAATATAAATTTAATATAAATAGAAATTGTAATTTTTTTTAATATTAAGTAGGACATTTCTTATAATTTTTATTAATAGAGTAAAGTTGTTACATGATTAATATTAAGATGTGAGATACATTGCTATACATGTCAGTCTACCACCATATTAGATA